TCAGTAAGCATTAGCCCAAATACTTACCACACCTTGACCCCATAATGGGATTCTGAGTTGAAATGAATCACTCCTTCCCCAAGCTAACAATCGAATAGAAGAACTATTTTGGGCATGAAAGGAACATGTAACTCATTAAAGTAATCAGAGAAGAAAGTACCAAACTCCATACTGAAATTCAAGGGTCGAAGTCAATAAACTCATGCTGCTCCTTTTCCTTTCCGTTAAAATAGTTTCCAATTCAATGTTTAGGAATTGAAATGGAATTTCCCTCATTAAATAAGCAACCTGAAGGGCTGGAGGGGAGAGAAAGCTAATCAATGAGCCCAAAATCAAAGTGCGAAAATGATAGGATTATTAGATACATTTTGTTAATTCTGCAAGGTCCAAATTGACAATTGCTTCTAAGATAAATGGGAAGACCTCGCAAACAAGTTCATTATGGCACGAAAATGACGGATGAGAGTCAAGCATTAACCTCTCATCATCAAACGATGAAATATTAGAAAAAAATTGAGGTGGCTTTTAAGGTGGGTTGCTGGCTTTTTTTGCTGTCATCATTCATTCAGTATTATATTATTTTGTTTACATTGTTGCATATTTTCAGACCTTAGAATTCTACTTGGTTGAATGCGTGTGCTTGTAGTGTGGGGCTGCATGCATCTTAGACTTGGTAACTCACCCTAGCTTAAGTCACTGTCATTTTCCATTGCCTAAAAATAGTTGGTTTTGACAACTTTCTTAAGCTTTTCACAAGTTGCTTGCTCAACTCAAAAACTGAATATATCTCTGCTCTATTTCATTATCTATCAGCATTGTCCTTAAGGTCTATTAGTCAAATATTTTTTCATACATTTGGTTCTTAACCTCCAAAGTCAATATTGAATTTAAGACAGTTCAAGTGGGTGAAACTTTATTATATCAGAAAAAATGCAACATTGATCCAAGGTCTTTGTACAGACAAAAAAAAAAAATTAATGTGTCCTACAATTAAAATATTCGATTCTTGACAAAAAAATCACGAAATTAATATTATTCAGCATCTTTGATATAATTGGATAATAAAAAATGGGATAAAATTGTCTCCTACATTATGTTTTATTTTGACGTTACACCAAGTTGAAAAAAAATTGAAATTGAATTTTTACTTTCATTGATTAATAATAATAAGAAAAATTAAGAATAATTTTTTTCTGCAAATTGTTCAACAGGTGAAAATAATTTTGAAGACCAGATCAAATTTAGGATCTGGCCTTTTTATTGGGGGCATATCCCAAAAATTGCCCCTAGAGAAAAAAAAGAGATGCCAAAAGTTAAATTTTAAGAAAGATAAAAAAAGTTTAGGACAAAAAGGGGTGGGGGAAATTGACCGAGACAATCACTAAGACTATGCCAAGTGTAAAAAAATACCTGCTTCCACAGATATTTCGCTGCCGACGAGCAGAATCCTTTTTAATGAAACTCCGGTAGCAATCGCCCACGTCCTCGGTCATGATCAAAGGAATTGGGAAAGTGGCAAGCCCATGTGTCCACACTGACGTTGCCAGATCTTGAGATACGCTACTTTGACCAAATATCATGGTGCAAAGGGGCCCAGAGGAGGCCAATCGAATGGACAGAAACGGTGCAATGTGGCAGCCAACGCCTGACAACATAGAAAGCTCATACGAATGGGAGAAATGTGGGGTCCTGTCCTTTCCGAGTGTCGCTTTCTATTAGTCTGTTTCCAGCGGGCACACTTACGGGATAAGAATTGTCATGGGAGTGGGACCCAGGGGACTGATCGATGTGGCCTAGTGGGGCCCGGGTCATGGAGATTGTGGGCTTTGTTGGTGGTGAGAAGCACACGGGAGTTTCTTTCTTCTATTCCAATCTTAAATTTTTCCTTCTTTCTGGCTGTCGTCACACGTGTAGGTAATTTTCGTGGGCCCTGATGTCCACGTGCGCTCCATATCTCCTATGGTCAGTTCTTCGATTGTCTGGGTACCTGTGGGCCCCAGGCTGAGCGAGGGAACTGGCACGGCACTGGATTGAATAGATTCGATTAATAGTTAATTATTAATTATAAAAATTTATTTAATTTAAAATAAAATTAAAAAAATTTAATTAAATGTAATAAAAAATAAAAATTTATTTAAATATTACGACTTTAAATATCAACTTTTACTAATAAAACAAAGTTCCATTTGAAATAAAGATTTAAATATGAGTTTTATTTAGAGGATAAAGGGTTTTGGCTTTCTGAACAACAAAATATATAAAAGCCATTAGTTTCCACTTCCGCTTTCTACAGAAGCAACATTTGCATGGAATGTAGTTATCAGTTATAGTTACTAGTTGCTAGCCCCCAATGGAACATCTAATGAAACAAGGAATTTTTAGCAATGAGCGGTTAAAACGAATGAATTTTTATGCAGTGTATTTTGAATAATTGCACTAAATTTGGTTTCTAGAGAAAATTATACGCTAAATATGTGAAAAAACAATGGCAACTATGTTATGGTGTAGTATTTGAAGAAGCATTTGAAATTCTTGGATAAAATAATGCTAATTAGGTTTCTAATGAAATTTATCCCTCCAATGTACTACTTGTGTACCTCAAATATTCAAGTCTTTGTATTTGTTTTTGTTGGGTTTTGTATATTGACTACTTTCACAAGGAACAAGCTTACCTAATAAATCAAATTCAAATATGTTATTCAAAATTCATGTTCCCAATCAAAATATTAGATATTTTAATTATAATTTTTTGTTTCGGTATGAGCGTAAGTTGGTGCAAAAACTTTTAATTATTAAATTGTCAAATTGGTTATTGATCTTAAAAGAATGAAAAAAAAAAAAAAGGAAATTTGATTCAACATAAAGTATATTAATTTCCATTTCAAAAAATTAAATATAAATTCGCTTTCGTTTACAAGTTGTACATTATAAAAAGAATGAAATATATTTAGCTGTTACAAATAAAAAGTGATTTCAATGTTAATCCACGAACTGATTTTGTTAGAAGAGTTGTTTGAAAATGGCTTTGATTATTATTATCAATCAAAAAATAGCTAGAAGGGTCACCAACCAAAACTGAAAATGGCCTGGCAAAGTTTAGCCATCACATACCAAGTTAATTATTCTGGAGTTATCTCTATCATTGTCACTTGAAAACCAGAAAACGATTATGATAGAGCAAGGAGAATGCCAGTATTTACTTGCTCAATTGCCTATATCAGGCTCTACTACATGCTTGTCCTTGCTATTTCTTAACTCTAACTAGCTTAGCCCATGATCCACAGATGTTGTTCAATTTGTAACTGCATAATTGAATGGTGCAGCCCAAATCAAATTCAGTGTGGATCATTCATTGTTGAGTCCTAGAAAGGATATCAGCGTACTGTAGCCTCTACTTGCATCCAATATATTACCCCCAAAAAGAAAAAACCGGTTCACAAAGCATTCAACTATGCATGGCTTGCTCACAAAGAAAAAATGATGATAAAAAGGAGCAGCAAATTCATTGATTTTTTTTATCCAAACAAAAGTTAACATGTTCTTCAAACAAGAATGGTTAAATTAAGGAGGTAAAACTTAAAGATGCAGTTGAAGCATAATTTTAACATTGTTCCTATTAAATCCCTTCTTTGTATGTACATACAGGATTAGAATTAGTGAACATAGACTCTGCGAAATAGAAAAACTCACTCCATAAGACCAGATCATTACAATGAAGATTTAACTACAACTAAGCACGCATATTTACTGGGAACTTATGATCCTGATAATTTGTTTTTGGGGTCATGCAGAAAATATAGGGAGACAGCCAGGTGGATATATAGTGCTAAACATGCAGTAACATAAGTAGTGTACATCTCCCTAACATTACGAATCTCTGCCTTGCAGAATTAAACCTGACTAGTACCTCTTGATTAACACCATTTGGTTACAGAGATCTTCCAAATAAATCCAAAGATTCCAGGAGTTTCTCATCCAGTTATGATATTCATTTCTCCACTCGAAGTAATAGGTTGACTTTACAATGCCCTTTCTTTCTTTATCAGGAACTTCAACTATACCAATCTAATCTATAAAATGGTTCTATGATAAGTAGCAGTTTGTTAGGGCCATGCATAACAGCGTTCATTTGGCACCATATTCAGACCTTACATTGGTTACCTATTGCCCTAACCAATTGTAGTCAAAATTCATTGCCAATTGAATACCTCAAGTCTAGAAATCAATTACTTAACAAGTGTTAATAGACTCAATATCTAAATAAATGAGAGAGACAGAGAGAAGAGCGAGAAATATCAACAATCAATCCAATCATAATTAAACTGACTGATGAGGAATCAGGAACCTCTACATGATTTAGTGGGCATGGAACTTGCTAAAAATTGGACCAAAAAGGGTGTTGGAACATCTAATCGATTACACTAACTTCTCCGATCTGTCTTGAGGCCTCCCTACAAATTGGCTAGCTTTTCATTTAATTTCACAAAGACTGAAGGAAGATTGTAATATTACCACATGATTAAACACCCACCTTACAGAAGTTAAAAATGCCCACGAATCAAATAAGCCAATCAGTTATAATAATATTGTGGGAATAGTAATCCAGGTTGGCCTAATAACCACAAATCATGAACTATGCAAGAAAGCAATATATAATCATATGTTCGCAGTTGTTAAATTGTGTTTTGAATATGGTTTCTCAACAGTCTTTGTGGAAGAAGAAGACTTGTAGCTGGACATAGTTCTGCATATTGCAGTTCTATGGGTTGAAAAATGGCCTTTTCCTCTTTTAAGGCATTGCCCCGAACATCATAATGTCCTACCTGTGGAAAGGCTAATTTCTTATATCTTTGCCTAAAATTTCTAAGACCATATATACTTCTGTGCTCCTATGAATCACAATCTAAGCATTGAATAAAAGTTTTCAAATAAGAGAGAAGGTCCTTAAGGTTCCGATAATTGAATCATACAAAATCAAATCTGAGGATAGTTAGTTTCTGTTTAGATGGAAATAACTACTTCAATGAGTAATTTAACATTATTTTGATGAGCTCAAAGACTTCTTAATATTTCGAAGGATACTCCACATAAAAGTGGATATAAAGAAAAGAATGATACCAGTAACAATGGCATACTTGAGACCCATGTTCACCAACAAGTTTACCAGAAGCCCAGCCAATACAACACCAAAGAAATTGGCTGATACAGCTGACCAGAAGGGCATATCAAGAATAGAAGCTATGATGGCTCCAGTCCATGCTCCTGTTCCAGGGAAAGGAACAGCCACAAAAAGCATCAGCCCGAGCCATTGAAATTCTTCCACGGGACCAGCCTTCTCTTTGGCCTTCTCAAAAATCATGTTAAGCAACCCAGATGCGGACTGGTTCCTTCCAGCAAGAAACGTAGCAAATCTCTTCAGGTAAAGTATAATGAAGGGCACAGGAACCATATTCCTGCAGTCAAATAATAAAGTTTGCAAAATTTTCAGCAACTCATTAGTTTCCAAGATAATCATGCATGCCAAACTAGTTACTAAATTATACTATCTAATTGTAAGCACACCCATTACAATAGATATTATAAAAAAAATGCTATCTTGGCATAAATTTTTAGTGACGAGCATGCATTCTATGGAAAGGGGCAAACAAATAATACCAGTAAACTGGTTAAAATTAAAATTTGTCATAACGATAACGTGCCCATACTCTTAAATTTTTAAACATGAACCAGAAATGAACTGAACACTGATAATATCCCGCATTAACGAGAAAGAAAATAAGGCTCACCCAAGAATAGATAAGATTGTCAAGAGTGTAGGCTTGAGTTGCATCCAGTAACCAACAGGTATAGCACCACGAAGCTCAAGAATAGGAAGTGTGGCCAGCGTAAACACCACAGCCTCATCGGGCCAGCCCGAGCCACGCAAAGCACTAGCAATCTTGAGGCCAAAGCTGGAAGCTCTAATGGAATCAGCAGCAGCAGCAGCATTAGCATCACCAGAAGCAGCAAACCAAACTAGAGACAAGGAAGCCCAGAGCACAACCCAGAAGAGGAATTTCACTGGCTTCTCCTCGAACGAAGGCAAAATTTCCTCTTCTCTGCTTGTATGAGCTGTATCAAGAAACCCATTTGAGGAAGCCCTTGTTATAGTCAAAGGAAGAGAAAAATGCTGCCAGTTTTGAAACTTTGACCTGGACAGAAATTGCTTGCTACGAGTAGAGGGCGAATGAATTTGGGTGGGAAAGATTCTGGGAGTGGTTTTCCTCAAAGAGGGTGCTAATACCAGTGGCGAAGTTGCAGCTGATGCCGATGCAGCCATTATGAAAATAAGAAATTGCAGCTAAAAGAACTTTCCTTTTACCTCCATCAATGACAGCTTAAAAGGGTTTTAAACAGGAGGGATTGTGAGACTATTGCCAATAGGAGTAGCATTTTTAAATCCAATCTGAGAATTTGGTAAGTTGTTAGACGGCAGAACCAGGCCATAAACAAATGTTGGAAAAAGTATTCAGACATGCCAACAAGGCTGCCCCGCCCTTAGGCCTTATCAAAGACTTGATAATGGGTTAGCAAACGAAATAGACTTAGATGATTTGCCTTGGAAATGACCGGCATCCTCGTGACGGTTACGCATCAGCCAGCAGGCATTACCAAACAAAACAGGGAGGACTAACCAAAGCTATGCTCCCAATTTAGGAAATACTTCCACTATACTAGATAAGCTTAGGTTTTCAAGGGTTTGGGTGTTTTTGGTTAAATATTACAAACATTTGTCGAAGCTGGCAATGTCAATCGAGGCAAGAGTTTGGGCTTTATGGAGGTATCTTAGAATTTGGGCCATGATTGGCCGTCTCTTCCACCTGTTACGCAGTTTCAAAGCCGCATATCAGTATATCGAATTTTGTTTACATGTTTGCCTTATTCATTCATGCTTAGTTTTTTTCTTATCATTTTCTCTCGTCTTAAAATTATCTTTTCATAATATTTATTCTGAGAAGAGAGAAAAACCATGAAAAGATAAGTGATTGCACGAGCAAAATATGAAAAGATAAGTGATGGGATGAAGAGGTTTTAATTTTCTTTTTTTATTGATAGTGTTTAATTTTACTTTTTGTTTGGATATGGGAATAATATATTTCACACTACAAACATCAAGTAGATACTTGGCAAAAACTTATTCGTGGTGCATGTATGAAGGATAAAGCAACATATCCACTTCAAAGATCTCAAGATTCAAAACCAAGCTTATCAAATTAGCTTATCCATTGAATTTGTTTAAGATTTAAATTAATTATAGTTTATCAACTAATGATCATCACTATCATTGATTCAAAAAATAGATTAATTTTATCACTTTATCTTGTATCTAGTATAAATATACGTACATACCACATCCAATTAGTTCTTTGCAAGTTTATTTTCTGTTGTTCCTTACTTTTGTCATTCCTTGTTTTTATATGGTACCAAAGCTTTGTCAAGCATAGCAGCAACATGATCCAAATCTTACTTCAAAGGCCACCTTCACTAAATCAACCACCACCACTCTTTCCTTTACTGTGCATCAACCTCAAACAACAATGCCAATCTCCATCAATGTTGCAGCTCAATAATAACAATTTTCTTTCTTAGCAATTGCAACTTAGTTCGCTCATTATTGGTTACAATCTCAAAGGATATCTCAATGGAGCAGCACCATGTGCTAACCGCATGATCACCACAAATGATACATCCACACTAAATCCAACCTATCACCATTGGTATCGACAAGATCAATTTTCACATCTTGAATTTGGAGGATCATGACCGACGTAAGGAACTAGATGAGTATAACCTGTTAAACCGAAGCAAGCCTAACATTGTTTAAACATAACTATTATTCATCATATAACCATCATCATCATACATTTCCCATTATCATGTAAACACATGCATAAGTGCATCATTATGGATTTCACCAATTAACGTGTTCATAAACATTCTCATAAGTAAATATTTCATAATCAAATATGGGTCCATATGCCCATACATATAACATTCATTTGCACACTTGTTGTGCTCATATAGGCTCTCAAGCCGTCATATTCAATTAACATATATGCTTATATAATATCCATACCAAGTATAATGCCATAACATGGCTACATCATCACAACAATATTGAACAATGTTATAACATAATTAGAAATAAAGATCGACTTGCCAAGCGGACCATGACTCGACTCTCTAACCTTCAAGAAGGCTGCTATACCATGTACTAAGAAAGAAGAACAGATCACGTCTTAGTGACTCAAATGGCTGAAGGGCTATCACTAATCTATAATAAAAATAGAGGAAACTAATGTGTGAATTACAAAGATTCCATGAGTAAATACGAGAAGGGGACAAGCTAAGGGGAAGAGTTTTTGCATAAATTATATCGTTAATGTAAACATGAATCTTGAGATAAACATACTTTATTTTCAAATTTCTCATAAAATTAAGTTGTTACAAACTAGTCTCATTTTTTATGGTCATATCAACATTTCATAAACATATAGTTCTTTAAATACACCGAACATTTACATAAAACCTTTACAAAAAACAAGGAAGCTGTACCTTACCTGTGGTATTAGATCTTCCCTAATAGAAACGATTCTTAACCATATAAACCTAAACTATGAGCAATACACTCCAATCTTACCGTAAATCATATGAACTGCTCATATACTTGAGATTCTTCTCTAGAATTCAATCATATAACATTAAGGTGATCATCTTTCCATCCATATAAATCAAGTGATCAATTTTTGATCCATAAAACTCAATGGATGCATTAGGAGTTATTCTGTACATTAATCTATCTTAGCTATTTTATGGCTTAAAGAATAATCTACTCAATCAAGCAGTCATTATAACATAACATGCAAACATAACATATACATACATCCATTCTATTCATAATATGTAGTAATCATGTATGCTCAATGGATGAATACATCATGCCTATGTTTAGGCCACTCATGTGGCACATTGGCCTCATTCATATTGAGCGCCATCACCATATGGTGGAATCTTGCACCGTGATGGGTGGGATCATTCTAAACATGTGTGGTATTCTTACCCCTACATTTGGACTTTAATTGTATGGCATTCTCACCCCCACATTTGGTTTTCATCATCGTATAGAATATCTGATATTCATACATGCATCATCAACATATTAGGCACATATTCTCCTATAACCCATACTCATAAACATGGTTTTTTCATAAGGCATGTGGTACTACATCACATTCTATCTCCGTGGAATCATGTCTTGCATGTTTCAAGTTTTTTTCAAATAAAACATATCATCAACTTAAGGATGAGAACGTCTACCTCAACCTAAGCATTCATTCCTATTTTACCATAGTAACAATTTAAGTACTATTTTGCCAAACATTTTATTCTCCTAGAATATTCAATCATCATACTTAACATCAAAGATGAAGTAGGAAACTTATGTCCATTTATTATCCATAATCCATACACTTTTCTAATTGAATTGAAGCATTTGAAGTAAAACATTTAAAAGGGCTTATCTCCCTTGTTGAAAACTACGACGTAGTAGAGATATTTACATAGGTATATAAATTCTAAAATAATTTTTGAAAACATTTAGATATAAACCTTTTTTATTAAACATTAGAAACATATAATTCAAATCACGTATGTCAAACAATTTCATAAAACCATGCTTAACTTTACATATCAAAAAAATACTTAAAAAGGTATATCCCTTCACTTTTTTAGAGTGTTTCGAACTTTTTCTCTATTTTCAATGAGTACTTGGCTTTTTCAAAAATTTTAACTTTTTCTACCATTCTTAGTAATAATTAAACGAGTATCAATATCGTTCCTTACATTGTAAAATTGCATTCTAAGCATAATCTTGGACATAAATCTCTAACCAACTAGTCTAATAAAACTTGCTGTTCATACTTAAAACTAAAATCTAGCCTTCCAAACCAATTCTTGTTAGTGATAACTTTACCTTGATAAGCTCTTAGAGCTTGGAAATGCTTGGAACCTAGTGTTTAAAATAAAAATCACATTTTTAGGATTTAACAAAACCTTAGAAGGAAAACTTGTAAACTTTTGAAGTAGGAAAATCATTTCCTTACCTTTACAATGTTGAAAAACCAATTAAAAGCTAGAAACCAAGTTGTTCTTCAAGAAAAATGAATTTGAAGCTTGGTGAGTGTTGAAAGAGTTGAGAAACTGGTGGCTAGTGGTTGAGTATTCAAGAAAAATGATTAAATCTCGAAATTTGTGAAGCATTTATAGTTTAAGGGTGAAAAGACAAGTTTAATCCTTTATTTTTTGAAGTCTGATGCTTAAGTCTCGATACCTTGAGCATAAGTCTCTATGCTTTTAGAAAACAGTTGTGTTTTGGAGGTTTCTCGACTCATGTGTTGATATTTTGCATGAAAGTACCAACTCACCTCGAAAGTTGACCTCTATAATCCAACACAAAATCTACTATAGCAATTCCTTTGGAGTTTTGATTGTTCCTCAACATTCAATAATTATTATCATCAATAATCAATCTAGGAATCCAGTACTAAGCATTTTAAGCTCTTTCAAATCTATTTAAGCTCTTTTAAAACTAATTTACGAACTGAAGTTCACTATTTTACAAATACCCATGTGCAAAAAATTCATAAATCCCTCATCCTTACCTTAGGTGAGCTTTAAACAAAGAGAAATCCATCTAAACCCTTTAGTTTGTAGAAATCAGTAAATCTCGAACGATACACAATTTTTTTAGAGTTAAAAACCAAGATTTCAAAAGTGAAAAATGTCATCTTTACTTTTTAAAACTCGAAACTAAGCTCAAATATTTAAAAAATAGTGATTTAAATGAAACATGTGTTGAAAGAGCATGGGAGCTAAGAAAATACCTCTGAAAATCGGCTAAAGGTTGCCAACCCTTGTTTAGAGTGGTATACTTATAAGCTAGGGTGTGAAATTATATTTTTACCCTTTTCGTTTTCTGAAAATATAGTCATCTGTCGATAAATGGTAGTTATTTATCGATAAATGAGCTCTAGAATGGTTTTAAAAGCTCTTAAGTTGCTATCTATTGATAGATGTATCCCATCTATCGATAAATAGGCTTGATCTATCAATAAATGATGAACAATAGATATCCTTTAATTCCTTAAAAGTCTATTTTGGGTTTGTATCTATCGATAGATAAAGAACATCTATTGCAAGATAGATTCTAGTAAACAAAAATATACTTAAAAATTTATCCATTTATACTCCTTTTTCCACCAAACGTTTTAAATCATTTTAGTTTTATTCTTGTTTTAACATGATAAAATTGATTAAACTTTTTGGGCCTTTGAAAATGAATGAAAATTATTTTTGAATATGAAGAAAATCCTTAAAAGAGAGTTAAAGTTGAACTTAAAAGAAAGATATATTGAAATGCTTTGATTGTTTGAATATATTTGTAGTATGATCATGCTCTTCAACATAAAGGAATATTTTTTAATTTTCTCAAAAATCTCTTGTCTTCAAAATTCAAAGTGCCAACCTAAGAATCAAGTTCTCAAAAGAAATGACTTAATTCTTAAAAGAAAAGAAAACAAAATTTATCTCTTTGATTCAAAGTTCCAACCTAAGAATCAAGTTCTAAAAAAAATGACTTGACTCTTAAATGAGAAGAAAACAAAATTTATTTCTTTGATTATAAGAAAAATCAATTTTAGAGAAGAAGAAGTAAGTTCTTAAGTAAAGATCAACAGTGAGTAATTGATTTTGAGAAAAGAAGAAATTGGTTATTGAAAGATAAAAACTTTGAGATTTGTGAAGAATCGACACCTTAGAGACAAAGAATCGATTTCGGAGAGACAAAATGTAGAAGGAGGAAAGCAAAGAAGAAAGAATTGATTCCACATGGAGAAGATATCGGTTCTTAAAGCACCAAAAGTACAAGTTAGAAACTTGGTGATCAAGAAAGACATGGTACAACTGGATAAAAGTGGAGCGGTAAAAATTAGGCTTAAATTCAAAATTTGGTGCTAGACCACAGGGAATAACCCACACCTTAAGGTAAAAGAATCGATTCTCCAAGATTGCAAAGTATCACTTTTGAACCTAGTTGTAGAAGAATCGACACCTCAAAATAAAAGAATCGATTTTCTAGAGACAAAAAGCTATGAATTTTGCAAAGAACCAACAACTCAACAGCTATGAATCGATTCTACAAATGTGATAGAATTTTGCAAGCTAACTGGAATGTACAAGAAATTATTCAAATTTCAAGCAGAAAATCATAAAGGCTATAAATATCCACCTTGATAATTTTAAAGAAAGAAAAGAAGATGAATTTTAAAGAATTTGAATTATTTTTGAAGAAGAAAAGAGCGAAAATACTAGAGAAAAAACTGTTAGTAGAAAGGTCTCACCTTTGAGTAAGAAAAGAGCCTAAAGATCACATTTTTATTCTTTAGTTAATCCTTCTTAAGCTTAAACCTTTTGTGATCATCCATGTCTTTGTGACAACTTTCACTTTTTTGATCCTAGACTTTTTTATCAACCTTTTCAGTGATTTTGAGCTAGAGATTCACAAAAATCTATTATTGTATTAGTTATACCTCCAAGCAAAAGGTAGAGGGATTTTGCATGATCTATTAAAAGGTTTTATCTTGTGTAAAGGTTGTGCTTGACTTTAAAAAAGGTAGTATCTTGATAGAGGTTACGCTTGATTCTATGAAAGGCATGTTGTAAAGGTTATGCCTAACCCTATTAAAAAGACAAGCTAATGATGGATTCAAACTCCTTATGCTATCAAGGGAGAAGACGTAGGCATTTGAAAGCCGAACCTCTTTAAAAATCCTATTGAGTACCTTTTATTTTTTTGTTCTTTACTTATTTAGTTTATACTCTATTTTGCTATTTTATTCTTTCATATTTTAGCTTTATCTTCAAAGACTTTTGAAAAGGGGAAATTTTATATAACAACAACCAATTCAGATCTTTCTTGGTAGTTTTAGTCTTAACCGATTAACACAATCTATAATCAATTAAAAATTCTTCGAATTTGCACTTCTTCATTTTATCTTCCTTCAACGGTCAACTTCACTTTAAATTTGAATTTTGGTGTTTGGAGATTCTTTAAGTCTTGTGCTCTAATCGATTAACTCTATGCCTTAACTGATTAGCAAACTTCTGTTTTCCTTTGTCAAGTACCATTTTATTCAGTTAAGTCTAGTGTTAACTGATTAAGATTTCTGTACCTAACAATTCCTTAACTAGTTAAGGCCTTTTAATAATCAGTTACAAAAGTCCCGTCTTCACTAATTCTTTCATTTTTTCCACTTTAATTGATTTGCCTATTTATTATTTGATCTTATTTTTAATCATTCATCTTATTGAGGGAATTAACTTTATCATGCACACTCAAATAATAAAGTTAAACATTAATAAATAAAAAATATTTTATTATCATAAAAAATATATGAAATTCTACTCGAATAATGTTTCTTACAAAAGCTCCAACTAGGCTAAATAGGCTCCAAAGCTTCTCCAAAACATGATAATCTGTAGCAACAAATATTTAATAATATGTTTTATATTATCACTTTATCTATCCATAATTCATAAAATTACAAAGAGAATTATATTTTGTAAACATTCATCTTTTCTATTTGTTTTAATTTCTTCTTGATTTTGTTTATTTTTTAATTAATAAAAAATATTTTCTTTTATTTATATTTTTCATTATAAAACTTATGATTGGATTCAATAAAACTAAGTCTTTTATTTACATATTTATTAAAAATAATAAAATATTATCAAATAATTTTTTACATATTAGAGCACATCTTTAATAACTTTATGAAATTACTATGTAATTTCTCTTTACAATATTTTAAAAATGTTTTACTTTGAACAACAGTTACACAAAAGTTGTACCCGACCAAACCGACCTAAGATACGACACCGCGTTTAGTTGATCCCTCACGTGCGTTGAACACTCAACTCGAACGCAAGACATGTCAATCTCCAAACATACAACGAAACGTGCGTACTCTAACTCCGAACTCCTAAAGGGACCTTCGAATATAACCATTTGGTTTTGCTGTCAACATGAGTCGAAAGAGAGACAAACCCTACTTCTCCCGTCACGGCCCCGCTTCCATCTCTAAAAGGCGTCGTCCTCTGCCACCTTATCCACTGCCGCCAACTGAGGATGACGACAAGCCTACGCCGCCACCGGCTGTGGTTGTCATGGGTCTTCCCCCAAATTGCTCGGTGCTCGATTTGAAGTCGAGGTTTGAGATCTATGGCTCAATCCCGCATCCGCATTAACCGTGATGCTGTTGGCTACATAGCGTATCGCTCTAAGGAATCCGCCGAGTCTGCCATTGCCGCTTCCCTTGATTCCTCTTTCGGCGTTACCGTTGATTCCAAAAAGGCAATTTTGTTTTTTAATCTATGCCCCTTTTGATTTCTTAATTTCTTGTTTGGTAACTGGTACAAGAGGAAGGAATTTGGTTGCCGTTTTTGTAATTATTGTGTTTTTGGGAGCGTTTGGCTAAAGAAAACTAAATTGGGCGGCTTTAAGGCTAAAATTAAAAACTTTGTGAGTTTTTTTAATTAATTTGAAAATTATTACCTTTTTAATTAATAATGAGAATCCGAAGTTAAATTTTAGAGCTATGCTTTGTTGCTCACGCATTAAGAGGTTCCAACTTCTGAAATGTGATGTTGGTTGCAGGTTCAAGTTTTGTGGGCAACTGACCCTTTAGCGAAATGGAGAGAAGGGGTAGGGGTAGGGGTCGGCGCTAGTAAGGGTAATGGGTCATCCTCGTCATCAAAGCTTTTGCGGCCTGAGGTGCCTTTGAGCAGGCATGGAAGAGGCAATAAGCTTGCATCAGCTATAGTTAACCGGTGCAGCTCAGAAGTAGTGATGATGGTTCTTCAATGTTAGAAGTGCCTTTTAAAGGAGAGCATTTGCCTACGATGATATTCTATAATGCAGGACTAGGGTTTTTGGGATCTGTCCATCTTTGTAACCATAGTGCAAGTTTAGTCTTAGCTCCTTTTTTTCTACTCTAATTTCTAGAATGTAATGCGTTGTGTATGGTGGAAGTTGTTTTAGTGTCTTGGAAGTTGGAGGAATGAGTGAAAGTTGTGGGGTATGTTTTGGGTTTATGGTTACCAATGATGCTTATATAGTGCCAATGAATGCAACGTTACCATTTTTGTATATTTGTCATGGTTTTTGGTTATATAGTTCATAGAATGTTTTAAACGATTAGAGCGTTTGTTGACATGAGTGATCTCCTCTGCCCTAACTGAGGAGATACGTCATTTGACTTGATCAAGGTTTTCAATATTCTTGAGCAATTTAGATGGAGATTGGCAGTTCATCAGGTTATTTGAATGGTTCCATACTTCCGTTGCTTGATCTTGGTTTGGAATTTTACAAATGGCTTATACCCATGAGACTCAATGGAAGGAGCAATAGCTGGTCCGACATCGAAGAAATATTCATAGCTCCAGATTTGACATGGCTCTCGGTAGTATTTTATGCTCTGCCGAACTCAAGGGGACAGGGGTTGTCTGCTTTTGTTTTAGAGCTTCAAAATGCTTTGATGGGTCATTCCAGCCATTCGTTGTATTTGTTTCTGCAAGTTTTCAAACATTTTTTTTTCACAGTTAAATCACTTGTAATCACCCCTGTACACGATGATTTCTATCGAGTATTCTTGCAGCTGGCTGAATTGCTACGCAAAATGTTGTCCTCTTTTTTAAACTCCTTTCGATGGTTTCACCAAAGAAGTCAGCGGTAATTAAGCGATGATTCTACCAAGCAAATCCCCTAATTACCACATAATAATCTGCCATCTTATCGTCTTCTTCTAATATTGCTCAATGGATGTGTTCTATGACTTTCGGATATGTGATGCATAAATCGGTTTTGTCGTATTTTAGGGTCGCCTTGGTTGCAGGGAAGGGAAGGCCTCAATATTCAGCTAAGAAGGCCCACACCGTTATCTGCAAGTAAAAAGTTTGTTAGGAAACGGCGCTGTTTCAACTAGATGGATCGGTGGACATGAATTAAAAAGCAGGCACTTGGCAGAGGCGGCCTGGGTTCTTTCGAGATGCTTGACCTCGACAGCTGAGTACAATTGGTTATGGCGATGGAAGTAAAGCAGAATAGCAAAGAAACAATAATCGAACAAAGAGAAAAAGAAGAAGAACAACTGTGGAGCTGGGGAGCAGGCACGGATGGACAGCTGGGCACCGCAAGGCTCCTAGACGAGCACCTTCCCCAACTTCTTAGCCTCCCTTCTCTCTCTTCCGCGGGCCCCGTCTCTATCCTTGCTTGGGCGGTGCTCACGTTGTTGCCTTGACCTATGGTGCCAGCAGCTACACCCTTCTCTTTATCTCTTTATTTTGTTTTTCTTTTCTTTTTTCCTTGCTCTATTTCACAGCGAATTAATTATTTTTTCTGCGCAAAATGTTGGTTAATGGTTTTGCAGGTGGGAAAGTGTTGACGTGGGGAAGGGGTAACTCTGGTCAGTTAGGCCATGGGGACATGGTTAATAGCTTGTTAGCTCCAAAGCCTGTAATGTCTTTGGAGAGTTATTTTATCACTCAAGTTTCAGCTGGATGGAGCCACTCTGGATTCGTTTCAGGTTCCTTGTAGATTTGCATCGTTCTACTTTTACCCGTATTTAAAATTGCTATACTGCCAGTAGCTCTGTGTTTGATTATTGTCTATACAGCTAAAATATCTAAATGTTACCAAATGTAATTAAATTGATGGACGTGCTCAGTTTTTCCATTCTACTTTATGCTGTTGATTTTGAACTTCCTCAATTAACTTCTTACCAACAATTCAGATCATGCTTGTTGGAGATTATGAATTTCATGTGGCAATATTTTTGCAATTGAACATGCTATTGAATTTAGTTTTCTAATTACTTTTCAGATGAAGGGTGTGCTTTTACTTGTGGAGATGGTTCGTTTGGTCAGCTAGGGCATGGTGATTACAGGTCACATTGCTCTCCTGTTAAAGTATCATTTTTTGTTAATAAGCATGTTGAACAGATAGCATGTGGTATGCGCCATTCACTTGTCTTATTGAAAGGTAAATGTGCGATGAATTAGTTGTGCTGCTAGAGGTCTTGAGTTTCAATATGAAGACTTTTTTTTTTTGAGTATATTACATATGCATTTACTACCTGAAGCTTTGAAAAATTGTACAAATTGTCAATTGATACCTGAAGAGAAAAGATGCACAATTGCACCATGAACTTTCGAATTGTTTACCATGATGTTAACTCAAACTCTTAACACTATTAATCTAGCCAGCGGCTAACCAACATTATCATTTTAGGTATATGCCACATGAAACCATCCACATCCATTTCAAAGCCAACTGAACACTAAGATGTATTTTTTTTTTTTACCTAGGCAGTAAAAATCCCATCCAAAACCGGCCAATTGTTGGATATCATGTGGCATTCATGTGGAATTTTCACAAGTATTTAGCATTTTTATTTAACAAGTGGGATGGACACATGTTGTGATTATATTGGTTAGAAACTACATAAGCGAGTTGGGTAAATGGTATTAGAGTTTGGCTGAACATGATACACTATTTAAAAGTTCAGGATCCAAATTGTACATTGTTTTTCTTCAAGTACCAATTGTTCATTTCACTCGAAGTTTAGATACCAAATATGTAAGTTACTCATGTTCTCCATATAAAATATATATGCGTCTGTTTCGTTTTGGCATATGTATTCGTTTCTGTCTTTGATTATTTATATGTTTGCTTAACTTGCTGATAACATTGTATCAGATTGTTTTAGAATTAAGCTCACTTCACCTACAGAATAATGTGTAGAAAGATGAATAGAAAAGCTGCATTTCTTCACAAAATTTAAAGGAAACTCTGTTTGTGATATGTCTGTACAAGAATACATAATTTAGTGCCTGAAATACAACATTGTTGCAAGTTGATCTAAATGAAGCTTTGTTGGATACATTCTGCCTACCCTTTGGATTGGATTAGAAGTTCTGAGAATTTTAAATGATTAAGGAATCTCGTACAAGTAACCGCATAGTGTTTCTCGCCTGGATGCTTGGTGTACAGGAAAGAGAACTAGAGGATTACCAGTTGAAAGCTTCACCTTAGTCCCTAATAACCAAATTCCTCTCTGCAGATAATTCGGGAAATCAACTTTATGGATTTGGGTCTGGAAAGCGTGGTCAGCTGGGTGTTTCAACAGATAGAATCAAGTTGATTAATACTCCTCAGTTTACTTGTGGATTTGAAGATGTTAAAATTATCAGCATCAGTGCAAATGGAGACCATAGTGCAGCATTATCTGGTGAGTACACCCATATTAGCAGAATATTTTATTTGTACCACAAACCATGTTGGCTTACAAGTAGTACCCTTTTTTAGGCAATACCAAAGCCCATAAACAGTATAGAATAAAATTTGCCTCCAATAACTAGTTTTTCATTTAATTTAATCTAGTTTTTATAACTGTGTCTTGCCTCCAGCCTGAAGGACAACTATACATTTGGGGAAGAGGGTTTGGTGCCACTTCAGATTTTCTCATTCCTCAACACATACCCTCACCATTGCTTTCTAAAGCTGTGCTTGGTTGGAATCATGCCTCATTATTATCTGGTATACATGCACACTTGTTAATCCATTATGGTTTACTTTGTACTCAAGCTATACACACTTGAACTTACCCTATCCCCTCACAACCGCGCACCCCCCCCCCCCCCCCCCCCCCCAACCCCCTCTAAAAAAAAACTCCTGGGTAAATATTTTAGCTTTCCTTGATCTCTTCCTGGTAAGATATGTCAAATCACATGTTGGTAACTCATTTTTATTTTGTAATAGATGATGGAGAAGTTTTTATGCTTGGTGGCAGCCATCATGGAGTGCTAAGCAATCTTGAGAAAATGAATCCCTCAAAGCATTTATCTGGTAATCCATTTGGAAAACTAAAGACAAGAATAAATTTGATAAATTATATTGCAATAGAAGCATCAGGGTTGATGATCATGTATATACATTAAAGGTGCATATCTTAAAAGGTTATCATTGTTGGTTTCTTAACCATCAGAGTGGACATTGCACCCTAAAATAAAAAGAAAAAAACCACCTCAATGGGAATAATACATGTGCACTCTCTTTTGAAGTTTTGTTACAGGTTTGGCTACTTTAGGTTCCTCGGTATTAAATACAACCTTTTCTGTTTTGGAGAAACTGGAGCAGCTCTTTTGGAGAGAGTCCCTGGTCTTGATGGGATGAAAGTTGTGCAAATTGCAGCTGGGGCTGAGCACTCTGCTATCATAACAGGCAAAGTCTATTGAACTTTTCTTTGTTTTCTTGTCATATTGTTTACTGATTTTTCTTTTCCACATATGCATTGTGATGGCAGAGGATGGAGTGATAAAAACATGGGGTTGGGGTGAACATGGCCAGCTTGGTCTTGGCAGTACATGCGATCAAAGTATCCCGCAAACAGTTAGTTTAGGTCATGATATTGAGCACAAGGATGCCACGTTCAGAGTTTACTGTGGGAGTGGGTTCACATATGCCATAAGGACGCTGTGTTCCCCTCCTTAACCCGGATATATTCTGATCGAGTACAAAGACCCTTTATCCTATATACAAAAATCAATGGGAGCAAATTTTTCTTGTTTCACGTACCAACGAAGGAAGAGGAACACTCTACCAAACACAATCTTTTGATCTGTATCTTATCTGGAATGAGCATTTATCAATGTGTCATATATTTAGATGAAAGCAGTTTGTAAAATTATCTATGCATGAGAAAGCCGTCGCCCGAGTCTAACACAGTTGTGGCGCTGCTTGCACTGTAATGTAATGTTTAGATTCTTTGTGGGATCAGATGACTCTATGGGTTGAATTGGTTTGCTGAATAGAAATTTAAGAGTTGTTTCATCAGTTCTTTTTCTTTTTTCTTTTTTTTGATTTTTAAATACTAGTTGGTTCAAGTACTTTCTAGTATTTCCCTTCTTTTTGATTTTTAAAACGTATACTTGTTTAGTTAATAGAAAATTAATTTTATATGTAAAATATTTTATGAATTAACTAGAAAAATAACCGTTGATTGTGCAAAATATCATATGATATTGAAAAGCATAAAACATTTTTCAAAAAGTAACAAAAACACTTTTATATTAAATCTATAATATAAATTTAATAAATATCTTAACTTAAAAAATAAAAAATATCAATACTTTTTAACTTAAAATAGTAATATTTATATTATTTAATACTATTAAAATTTATAAAATATAGTTTTTAATAAAATCAATTAATATAATTAAGCTTTTTATTTATAAATTTAACTAATGATTATAATAAAATAATTTCAATAATTATCATTTAATGAATGCACATTTATAAGTATAAGTTTAAATCTTACTAATAGCTATAATAAAAAATCTTTTAATGATCATTATGAAATAAATACATATTTATAAGTATAGATTTTGAATGTTTTGCATAACTAGCGAATATTTACATTTTTATGGTATTACATAAAAAAGTGATGAGATAAAATTTTTTTAAAAAAAGGTGATTAAATACTTTAGTGTTATGAATATTTTGTGAATATCCATTCATGTTATCTATATTTAGATTTGGTGTAAATCAGATGAGATTATGATATAATCCATCTAATTTCTAAGTGTTATCTTCATCTTGTAAATGAGTTATTTACCTCTAAATAGACCCCTTTTAATTCATTTATATACACACTTTAATAAAATTGCTTCTCTCCCTTAAATACTTTCTTTCTTCTCTTTAAGTATTCTTTCAAGTTATTTTTATTTGTTCTTATAAAGTTTTTTTTTTATAACACGTTATCAGCACGATTTTCTAATCTCTCACTCTCAAACTTCACAAACAAGAAATTCAATTTTTTTTCAGGTAATTTTTGTTTATTGTTATTTTATTGTTTTGTCCAAATTTTACCAATTTCTCATAAATCAATTTTAGATTTTATATTTAGTGTTTTCTATAAGCCAATTAATTATTTTGCTTGCCAATTACGATATATTGTAATACTAACATTTACGTTCTTCTTTTAAGCTATCACAATGTCAAATCTTACAATGCTTGAATTTGTAGCTCTTGATATTACTGGCAAAAACTATCTATCTTGGATTCTAGATGGTGAAATCCATTTAAATGCTATGGGTCTTGGAGATATAATCAAAGAAAAAAACAAAGCATCCAATCAGGATAAGGCAAAAGTAATGATTTTCCTTCACCACCATCTTCATGAAAGATTAAAAATTGAGTATCTCACAATAAAAGATTCCTTGGATCTTTGAAAAAGTCTAAAGAAAAGATATGACCACCAAAAAATAGTAATTTTACCAAAAGCTCGTTATGATTAGATGCATCTATAATTGCAAGATTTTAAAACTGTAAGTGAATATAACTCAGCATTATTTAAAATTAGTTCTAAACTAAAATTGTGTGGAGAAAAGATGACCGATGCTGATTTGTTACAAAAAATATTCTTTATTTTTCACACCTTAAATGTGCTCCTATAGCAACAATATCGTGAAAAAGACTTTAAAAAATACTTTGAACTGTATTCATGTCTTCTTGTGGCTAAGAAAAATAATGAGCTATTGATGAAAAATCATGAATCTTACCCAACTGGTTTTGCTCTATTCCCTAAAGTAAATGCGACATCATTTAGAAATTCTGGTCGTGGTCGTGATCGTAATCGTGGACGTGAAAAAGGTCGTCATAATTATCACAGTTGTAGTGGTTATATAAATTATTATTCTGATTGTAGTGGTTATACAAATTATTATTCTGATAATAAGAATACCCACCAGAAGTGGATGAATAGTGAAGAGATATAAAAAAAAGATAAAAGTGGACAAAGTAAAAGGAATATAGAAAATGTTTGTTATCGATGTGGTATGAAAAACCATTGGTTACGTATCTGTCATACACCAAAACATCTTGTTGAACTTTATCAGCGTCACTAAAAGATAAAAGAAAAAACATCAAAACAAATTTGTTGAAGATGATAGCCAAGTTGATATAACACACTTGAATGTTGCTGATTGTTTTACCCACTCTGAAAGACGGATTGATCATTTGATTGGTGATGGGAATCCCAATAATAAAATTTCTTAAATTATTTGTTGATGTGTTTTAGTACAACTTTATTAGGAACTTGACATGTTTAGTATTATTCTATTAAGAAGTTAATATATCTATTAGGAAGATTTTTTTTATATTTTAATAACAAATTTTATATTTAATGTTCTCTTATGTAAGTTTCTTACTATATATAATTTTTATTTTCTTGAAGAAAATATGAATATTTATCTGGTTAGACCCAAGATCAATGATAAAGATATATGTTTAATAAATAGTACTACAACGCACACTATATTTAAAGACAAAAAATATTTTTCGTACTTGACAATGGAAGAAGCTAATGTCAATATAATATCTAGTAGTACAAAATTAATTGAAGGCTCCGGAAGAGCCAATATTTCACTACCTAGAAAAACAAAGTTTATAATAAAAAATACATTACTTTCTACTAGGTCTCAAAGAAACTTATTAAGCTTTAAAGATATTCATTTGATTGGATATCATATTGAGACAACGAATGAAAGAGGTACTGAATACCTTTATATTACATCTATTATATCAGGTAAAAAGTGTGTATTGAAAAAATTACCAGCTGTCCTTTGGAATATACTACACAAAAATTAAAATGATTGAAGCTTATGCTATAGTAACCAGAAGTTTACTAATAATTTTAATGTTTGGCATGACCGGTTAGGCCATCCTGGATCAATAATAATGCAAAAAATTATCGAAAATTCATGTGGCCATCCATTGAAAAATTAGAAGAATTTTCAATCTAATGAATTCTCATGTGCTGCATACTCTCAAGGTAAATTAATCATAAGGCCATCACCAGCCAAAGTTGGGATTGAATCCCTTATGTTTTTGAAACATATTTAGGATGATATATATGGACCTATACATCCACCATGTGGACCATTCAGATATTTTATGGTTTTAATTGATGCATCAACAAGATGGTCACATATGTGCTTATTATCAACTTGCAATTTGGTATTTGCAAGATTTCTTGCACAAATAATTCGTTTGCGAGCACATTTTTCTGATTATTCCATTAAGACAATTTGTCTTGGCAATGCTGGTAAATTTACATTTCAAGCTTTTAATGAATATTGCATGTCAATTGGAATAAATGTTAAACAATCTATTAGTCATGTTCATACACAAAATGGTCTACCAGAATCATTTATCAAATGCCTTAAACTGATTACAAGGCCACTACTTTTGAAATCCAAACTCCCAATTTTTGCTTGGAGACATGCCATTTTGCATGCAGCAGCACTTGTAAGTATCAGGCCAACGAGTTATTATAAATTCTTCCTTATGCAATTGGTTTATGGTCAGGAATCAAATATTTCCTATTTAAGAATTTTTGAATGTGGTATATGTTCTAATTGCTTCACCACAACGCACGAAGATGGGTCATCAAAGGAAGTTAGGAATATATGTTGGATATAAATCTCCATCTATAATTAAATATCTAGAACCTTCAACTGAAGATTTATTCACTGCAAGGTTTGCTGATTGTCATTTTGATGAAATAATTTTTTTAACATTAGGGAGAGAAAATAAGCAGCTGGAAAAGGAAATATCTTGGAATACATTATCATTATTTAGTCTTGATCCTCACACAAATCAATGTAAACAAGAAGTTCAAAAGATAATTCATTTGCAGAATATAGCAAATCAGTTGCCAGATGCATTTATTGACTTAAAAAGAGTAACTAAATCTCATATACCAGCTGCAAATGCTCCAATCAGAATTCATGTAGGACAATCTACTATTGTTAATGAGTCTAAGATATGCTAGAAGCGTGGAAGACCAATCGATTCTAAAGATAAAAATCCTCAAAAAAGAAAAGGAGCAAATATTTAAGATGGTCAAGAAAAGGAAACAAAAACTCTAGAAGAGATCCTTGACATAATTCCAGAAGAAA